TTATTATTTATTATTATTATTATTATTATTATGAAAGCCAAAAAAAAAAAACACATAAAATATAACGAATGGTCAATCATCATATGCCTAATACATACACACATATTTTTTTTCCGATTTATTTTTTTTTTTAAAAAAATATTATCGATTATAAATAATAAAAAATTGCTTAGCCATTAACAAAAAAAAAAAACACTTAATAAATAAATCATTCACGGTTTTAATACATTACCCTCCCCCCTCCCCCTCCCCCCAAAAAAAATAAATAAAAACGAAGAAGAAGGAAAAAAAATTGTTTTTAAATATAAAATGTAGGAGGTATTGAATATACATATATAAATATAATAATCGATGGAAATTTTAAAGTAGGTGACGTATAAATGTTAAATCTCGTTCTTCTATTTATTCTATTGTATTATAAAATTGATAATAAACATAAATATCGTTTCGCATTTACGCACACACGCACGCACACGCACACACCGTACGGATCAGTTAATCGTTTTCACGCGAACGATCAATTACGTAATAAAATTTATATGAGAGTTGTTATACCTTTAAATTTTCAAAAATTTGTTGTTTAAAAATAAAATTTAACGAATAAAAATTAGTTTATGTCAATGCGTGTGCGTGCGTAAACAAAACACACACACACACTTAATACTAGGTGAGAGAGAAAGAGAGAAAGAGAGAGAGAGAGAGAGAGAGTGGAAATTTTTGATTTTCCCAAATAAATTCCGAGTAAAACAATATAACACACATGGAAAATTTTACACATAAATATTAGAATGATTTTCTTTTTTTTCCACCCCCTTCTCTCTCTCTTTCTCTCCACCTTCTCTCTCTTTGTTTTTTTTTTTTTAAATAAAAAATGCATTTTACGATTTTTTTTTCCTTTTTTTTTTTTACAAATTAAACCGACGGGTTTGGAAAGGGATGAAGAGGAGGGGGGGGGAAAAAAACTTTTTTAACGAGATTTTTTTTTTTTTTTTTTTTTTTTATTCCCACGCTAAAGAAATACAAAAAAAAAGGAGAATCAAACTAAGCTTGAAATCTTTTACGGTTGCATAATTTGCATAAAACGGACTATTCGAGGATTATCTTGGCTCTTCACGTATTTATTTGAATAAATTTAAAATTTTACTCATTTACAGCTTATTCAGCATATATACATATATATTTAAATGGGGAGACAACGCTTAAGATTTTCCATAACGAAACAAACAAACAACCGACAACAATAACATCAATAATAAAAATAATAACAAAACACAAACACAACGACAACAACAACAACAAAAAAAAAATTAATCAACAAAATCCATAAAAAGGTAAAAAAGATTCATTTCAAAAATTTATTTATTTATTTATTTATTTTATACTTTAGAAATAAATCTCATGAAAATGAAAATATGAATCCTGCGGTGGGAGAAAACCGAGAAAAGAAATAAATGTTCATTTTCCCCCCTTCCCTCCTCCTCTCCTCCCGAAAAAAGATTTTCTCAACCTTTTTTGAATTATTTATGTTAGTGTTTTTTAATTATGTCACTTTTTTTTTTTTGCAATTTTTAACAGTTTAAAATTTTTACTACTACTATTATTATTATTATTATTATTATTATTATTAAAAATCTCATTGAATTTAATATTTTACAATTTTAAATAATTATTTTATTTATACGAGTGAGAGAAAGAGAGAGAGGGAGAAAGAGAGAGAGGGAGAAAGAGAGAGAGAGAGAGAGAGCAAGAGAGAGAGCATAAGAGAAAAAAAAATTTAAATTAACGAAAAAAATAAATCAAAAAAAAATTTAATTGAATAAATAAGTGCGACGTGAGAGAGAGAGAGACAGGGAGGAGGAGAGAGAAAGAGAAATTATTATTATTATTATTTATTTATTTAAAAAGATGTCTTCTGTAAATTAAATTTAAAAAAAAAAAAATTTTTTTTTAAATTAAAAGACAAAAAGAAAAAAAAGAAAAAAAATGAAATTTTTCTTTTTTTTCAGTTGAGAAATAATAATAATAATAATAATAATAATAATAATAATAATAATAATAAAATTAATTTTTTTTTTGTATTTTTAAAAGCGTTTGCTGTTGCCGCTACTGCTGCTGTTGGAAAAAGATTTTTTTTTTCCGATTCGTTGAAATTCACTAAAAACTGTCGTGTGCTACGAAACAAACAAACAACAAACAAACAAGCAACATCTTGACAAAAAAAAATTTTCCGACGAAAAAAGTTTTTTTAAAAATTTTTTTAGCTTGTTCGACGACGCAAGAAAAAAAAAAAGTTTTTAAAAATTTTAAAATTTTTAAATGACGACGACGACGATGAGAATAACGATGATGGTGGTGGTGGTGTATATGTGTAATTATTATTATTATTATTATTATTATTAGTTTTAACGATTTTGTTTGTTTGTTCGTTCGTTCGTTTGTTTGTTTTTACCTTTTAATATAAAATTCGCGTCTGAGGTTTAAAAAGTTATTTATTTATTTATTTATTAACGTTTATTGAAAATTAAACAAAGAGGTATATAAGAAGAAAATTTCCTGTAAATATTGGGGGAAAGAGAAAGGTGGGGGAAGTTGGAGGAGGAGGGTAGTCTTTAAATGAATAATGATATTTCGGTGTGTTTGTAAAACAAAAACAGATGGGACAAAAAAGGGTTTTTCATATCTCATGGAAAAATTTTATATGTTTTAAGAAAAACACCGCCGGTGCCTCGACATTTTCTTTTTTTTTTCCTCCTCCATTTTAATT